TGGGTAACTGAAAAAAAGTGAAATCCCATAGATAAGGGTGGGGATTTTGGGGGGCAATTACTGGATTAGTTAAGAAGTTGACCTGGGTTGAAATAGTAGCTCTTTCATATACTAGGTATGTGACTTGGGAAAGTTTTTGAACCTCTCTGATTCTTCATTTACTCACTTGTAAAATGGGCGTGGTAATAATTGGGATTGTTGGGAAGATCAACTGAGATAGCAATCACCATGTATTTTTTGCTAATATCATTATCCCCATTTTCATATGTGTATCTATATTAGGTATTTTGTATTGGCACGTTCTGATCCAGATCCTAAGGCTTCTGCTAGTAAAGCCTTTACTGGATTTATTGTGGAAGCAGATACCCCAGGAGTGCAGATTGGAAGAAAGGTAAAGTGTGTATCAGCGATTAAAGGCCTCAAATATTAATATTATTTTATCTACAAATTTCAAAATTACTTCACTTTCCTTTAATGAAAACATTTTGTTTATATTAAGTTGGAATAAAAATAAAGCTGTATTTTGATGATACAGGGTCAAATAGTCTATATGTTGCTGAATAGTCATTTCAAGTCATTTTGAAAGAGTAGCCATTTGTGGTGCCAGCCTATGGAAAATGCTAATAACACTTGTTAGGGACAGTGTATTAGAAATCAAACTATCATTTATATTGCCTGCCTGATAAGAGTTTTAGATATTTCAGAGGACTTTCCCACCCTTTTATCCTTTGGATCCTCACAGCAACCTTTTGGTAGGGTAAGTGGCATTATGCCCATTTTATGGATTAAAACAATGTGACATAAATGGATTACCCAAGGTCATACAACACTAAGAAAAGTCTGTGCCTTAGAACACTGTAAGAGAATGTCAAAGAGCCTTGAATGTGGAAAGGCAAGACAATTTTATTTAAATAAGAAAATGTAATTTAACATAGTTGAAAGGGTTGTAATCCGCATATGTGGAGATAATGTAGCATTTAAAGTAGACTAAAGAGAAAAAGGTTTAAAACTTGACAATCAAAGGAGGAAAGAAATGAAATCATTAAAGAAGTCCTAATGA